GAGCTCCTGCTGAAGCTTTTCTCACAGGTGGGACATCGATAGGGTTTTTCTCCCGTGTGGATCCTTTGATGATCTATGAGGCCCGACTTCTGAGTGAAGCTTTTCTCGCACTCGTTGCATTTAAAGGGTTTCTCTGCGGTGTGGCTCCTCTGATGCGCCATCAGCTTGGAGCAGTGGACAAAGCATTTCTCACATGCAGAACACTTGTAAGGCTTTTCCCCTGTATGGGTTCTGGAGTGCTTGGTAAGGGTTGTGCTGGAGCGGAAGCCTCTCTTGCACTCGGGACACTTAAAGGGCCTCTCTCCTGTGTGGACTCTGCGGTGTTCAACAAAACGGGATCTCCGAAAGAAGCTCTTCTCGCATTCACCGCACTGGTAGCGTCTTTCCCTTCCGGGGGCGTTCGGCTGATCGGAGGGGCTGTCCTCCTCCGCAGCGCCCTCCTCCGTGTGGACTCGGAGGCGGTGATCGCTGAGGGCCGAGCTGCGGCTGAAGCTCTTCTCGCACTGGGGACATTTGTAGGGTCTCTCTCCTGTGTGGATCCTCTGGTGCTCAATGAGCCGGGAGCTGCGGCGGAAGCTCCTCTTGCATTCAGGACACTGGTAGGGTCTCTCCCCTGTGTGAATCCGGCGATGCTCGGTGAGGTGCGAGTTCCGCACGAAGCTCCTCTCGCACTCGGGGCACTGGAAGGGTCGCTCCCCCGTGTGGATTCTCTGGTGTTTGATCAGGTGGGAGCTCAGCGCGAAGCTTTTCCCACACTCTGTGCATGAAAAGGGCCTCTCTCCGGTGTGGCTCCTCCGATGCGCGATCAGCGCCGAGCCCTGCTTGAAGCTCTTGCCGCACTCGCCGCACGTGAAAGGCCTCTCGCTCGTGTGGGTCCTGTAGTGGGTGGTGAGGGTCGAGCGGTTCCCGAAGCTCTTCCCGCACTCGCCGCACTGATGGGGCTTTTTCCCAGTGTGGACCCTCTGGTGCTCCGCCAGCCGCGAGCCTCGGCTGAAGCTCTGCTGGCAGTAGCTGCACGTGTAGGGCCTCTCCCCCGTGTGGACTCTGTAATGCTGCAGCATGCTCGTGCTCTCTGCGAAGCTCTTCTCGCACCTGGGGCACTGGAAGGGCCTCTCCCCTGTGTGGATTCTCTGGTGTTTGATCAGTCTGGAGCTCTGGCTGAAGCTTTTCTGGCACTCAGGGCATTCGTAGGGTCTCTCCCCCGTGTGGAGTCTCTGGTGCTCCATAAGCTTAGAGCTGCGGCTGAAGCCCCTCCCGCACTCGGGGCAGCTGTAGGGTCTCTCCGCCGTGTGCACCTGCTGATGCTGAATAAGGTGTGCACGCCGGCTGAATTCCTTCTCGCAGGTGGGGCACTTATGGGGTCTCTCCCCAGCATGGGCTCTGGAGTGAGCGGTTACATGCGACGGGTGAGGAAAGCATTCGTTGTATTCCATGCAGCAGTGCAACCTCTGCTCTGGGGGGGTTCTCGGGGAGGCAGCGGCATCTTCCACTTCACTGAATCCTCTGCCACACCGATTCGCTCCACCACGTGGGTTTCCTGCTGGCTTCCCCTGCTGTCCTTCTGAGGCAGGCTGCCCCTCGCCCACACCCCCGCCGCAGCCTGGGAAAGCACTCGCTCTGGCTCCTCGTGGCGCGCCCAACCTCTCTGGAGACTCCTTGTTGTTAGTCCTTGAGACGAGTTCATCGGCTGGAATACAGGGGAACCCAGAGCTGGATTAGTGCATGCACACGGATCAATGGCTACTGTACGTATTTCATAAATGCCTACGGTCGATATATGTACGGCAAGTCCTGTTTTCAAAAGTGACTGAGATACTGCAGAGCCTTAGGCTTGGCCTGCACTACAGAGTTAGGTCGACAAGGCAGCTTACATTGACCTAATGACGTCAGTGTCGCACTACAGCCGTGCTCCCGCCGGTGTAAGCGCCCTACTGCACCGACATAACGCCACCTCCACAAGAGGCGCAGGGCTTATATCGGGGTAGTTAGGGCAAAGCAGGGTCTGTGGAGACACTGTTACTTACATGGGCTGTTGGCTGTCTCTGCTGGAGCCGTGAAACGGACAAGAAAGCTGGCTCCAGGCTCCCCAGCCAGGCTGCTGCGAAGTCTCTGCTCCAGGCTGGGCTGCCTCCCGTTCCCCACTCCCTGCCGAGAGCCCAGCTGTCCCCCAGGGTCCTGGTTCCCTGCTCCTCACCGGGACTATGGCAGCCAACCAGACTGTGGGTGTGAATCTCCCCGCTGGAGGCAAGAAGCCTTGGATGGCTTCCCCCCGACTCCCAGCTGGGAGCAGGGACCCAAAAGCCGGGGGGGAGCTGCGCAGAGCTGAGAGCCCTGGAGCTCAGCCCCCCACACTGCCCCTCTCCAATCAATGGAAGTGCTCCTGGTGAGGATCCACAGCACTGTGGCTGTAAAACAACCTAACCTGGGTCGATTTAAGATTGTAGTGTAGACATGTCCTTATCCCCATTGAAGTCAATGGGATTTAGGCCTAAGGGCTAGCTCCACAAAACGACTGAGGTTCCCACTGGAATCCTCAGCCCCAGATTAGGTGTCCAGGCTCCCCACACAATGCATGAGCGTCGGGTACCTAAGAATGGGAGTTACAGGAGACAGCAAGCTGGGCGTTTTGCTGCTTAAGTTAACCAGTAGAAAATGCTGAGGAGAGGGCTGGGGCTCAAAGGTCATTAGAATTGGGATTCACAGCTGGGAATCCTCTCCTGGAGTTAGGTGCCTAAGCCAGGGCAGCCCTTTCGCACAAAAAGCCCACCCCATTAGAGCCAATAACCCAGGGGTTGGGGCACTCACCTGGGAGATGAGACCTGTTTTCAAATCCCCACTCTGCCCGATTTGGAGCAGGGACATGAACTTGGGTGCAAACCTCTCACCAGTGCCCTCACTAGCAGGCCCTTGGGTGTTCTGGGCTGGCTTTGTTCAGGTTAGTCTTGCTACGAGAACACCAACTGGATTGGGCCCCACAGGCAGGAAACACCTAGCTAAAGAATCCCATCGGGGCTTGGGCATGAGCTAGGATGCTGAACAACTTCGCAGTCTCAGGAGTTGCCTGGACTTGTGCCCGTCCGCCAGCCCCGAGGGAACGTCACTTGCAGAAACAGGGGTGCTTACGGGATTGGGCAGAAGCTAAGAAGGGGTTCTGAGGATCTCTGTGGCACCTAGGCACTGGAGTTCGGTGCCATAGTCCCTTTGTGGATCTAGTCCTAAATCCCTTCTGAAAATGGGACTTGGGCTCCTTGGAAAATGTTGCCCATCATCTACAAGGTAATATCTCAGCAGCCTATTTAATGAACTTGAATCTGGAATTCCAGACAGTTCAAACAACCATCTAATATATGCATAATGATCCTACTGCTATTCATAGATGACCACTTGTTTTCTCTGTTTTGTGTCTTGTACAAGCAGACAACACTTAAAATTGACACCTCTCAAGCATACATTAATTGTTCCTAAATCTCAATCTTGCAAGAACAAGCACCAGCTGGAATTTAGTTGCCATTTACTGAAAATGAATAGGATTCATTTATAGAGTATTTGATTAATCCTAGAAAAATCTCTCTTATGTGGGCTAAATATTCTGTAAACTGGAATATGCTTCAGGATATCTTGTGTATTCTTTTGTAGGATCTTTTTTATTGTTTACAAAAAACCCTGAAATCAAGTGTTCAATAGAATAAATAACTGAATTAATATATATATTACAACCATCAGATTAAGGAAGATTAATTGCAAATGGAATCCTGTGGAAGAAGGAAGCTTTTGAAATACTTGTCTGTCTGGGTATCAGCCAATTAACTGATTTGGCTGATTAAAAGGTTGTCCCACATTTTCCCTGCCCTGGTCTCTTCTGGGCTGTTATCTATGCAACATGGAGAGCTATCTAGGGCAGTGATTCTCAACCAGGGGTCCGGGGCCCCCTGGGGGGCCATGAGCACATTTCAGGGTATCCGCCAAGCAGTGCCAGCGTTACCCTTGCTGGGGCCCAGGGTAGAAAGCTGAAGCCTCACTACATGGAGCTGAACACCGGGGCCCTGAGTCCTGCCACGCAGGGCTGAAGCCAAAGCCTGAGCAATGTAGCTTCGTGGGGGCCCCTGTGGGATAGGGCCCCTGGCAATTGCCCTGCTTGCTACCCCCTAACGCCAGCCCTGGCTTTTAGATGCAGAAAACAAGTTATTGTCGGTCAACTGCAATGGAAGTAGGTGGTTCCTCTGGGCTCATATAAAATTCATATGGATTGGATCAACAATCAACTGTTCTCAGTGGGGAGTAGGCATGTTTGTGCTCCTGGCTGGAGAACAGCTGACTGGCAATGCAAGAAAGGCAATCCAAGCCATTAGAGAACGGCTTCTGGGACCCTCCCAATCCAAAATCACATCACACAGCACATTGTCTTTGGTCAGGCCCCCACTCCTGGAAGTCACTGATCTGTAGTGACCGCAAGCACGAAAACAAAGGAACTAGAGAGGTGTCCCTGGTGCTACATACCTCACTGCTGGGCCCTCTGTATGCACTGTCCAGCAAAGAAGTGCAGGTACACATGGCCTCCTCTTTAAAAGTGGCCACTGATTTGGGGTCCCTGAATTGCTGGGTCCCCAAGTGGAGACACTGTTGTTCTGATTTTTCAGAGGTTTTCAGCATGAAGATAAGGCACCTGGTGTCTCGTGCCAAGATTCAGGTACCCAGAGTCAGTGGGCATTCTTCAAAATGTTGGCCATGAGCTCATTCTGTTTAGTAGTGTCCCTAAGCCCATGTGGGTTTCTAGGGGTCTCTCACAAGAACACTGAGCATTAGATTGCTCGTTAAAGCTTAGGCGCCAGACAAGTCACTTCAGCCAGACTGTAACTAGGAAGGGGGATGGGAAGAAAATTACTTAGCCGGTAAGGAAAAGGACAATGATAAATGGCTGAAAGGCTGAGAAGAGGGTGGAGCTAGATATGCAAGTTAACAAGGATGGGGCCACGTTAGCTTTTTGGATCCAGAGTTTTGGTTTAACCTATTCGGAAGATGGAGACCACACGCAAGCCAGTCCAACTTCAGATTGCAAACACCCCCAAGGTATGGGAGAGTTCAGATCCAGGGCTTGTCATTTGGGCTCATTAGCATGAACATTTTATTACTATGCAAATCAGAATGCACACTGTATTACTATGCAAGTAAGTATGCAAATTTTCATTACTATGGAAATTGTGTGGCAAATTTTATTACTGTGAAAATTAACATGCACATTTTTATTAGTATGCAAATTGGAATATGAAAGGATAAAACGAGGCCAAATCTTTTGGTCCTCCAGTAGTTTTAGTCAGTCCTTACTTCACTGAACGCTTCTTTTGAGGAAACACCGAGTCAGAGCCAGACTAGCCCATTTTTTACTAGGAAGCTTTTGAAAGATGCAAATAACTGTTGAAGTGTAAATTGTTACTCACCTGAGGAAATGTACCTAGAACTGCCTCCTTCCCCCGAGGCCTGGCAAGTCTGGGCACATGGCTCTTCCCCTCGTTCTATCAGCCAGATAAGGGCAGGTTTCGTAGCTGCATGACCTGGCACTGGAGAAGAATGAACATCATTTCAAATATAAAGAATTTAGTATTTTGTAGGGGACAAAATAAATAAACAAACTTTTCCACTGAACCTTTTTTGGATGGGAAAATTGGGTCTTTGACTAAACACTTTTTTTTTGGTGAGAAGTGTCTGCTTTCTGCAGAAACTGTTGTTTAGGTGAAAAACTGAATGTCCAAAACCAAATATTTCCATCCTGAAGTGCTGCCACAGTACCCCATGCTCCCATCCTCCTCCATGGGCTGGGCTCCCTAGCTGGACTTTTGTCTCCCATTACGCTGCATGGCAATGTGACCACCCTGGTGCACCACCTCCCCTCAACAAGACAGGAGACCACTGTGCATCATGGGAGATGTAGTCCAATCAGGGACCCCAGCCTACAGAATAAAATGGAGCATGAGGCACTTGAACTACAACTCCCAAGGCACTGCAGCATCATTTTCCGAATAGAAATATTTTGGGGTTTTGATTTTCTGTGGGGAAAGCCCCATGGAATATTTTGACAAAAACTATTCTTCATTTTCATCTAAATTTTCTACAGGAAAAAAAGACCAGAACACTTTCCAACCAGCTAACTTAGACATTTTAAGGGAATTTGCTGGCAGCAGAAATTATTTTTGTAACCATGAGACTGATGCCCTCAGATTGCTCCCAAAGTGGATAGCTTATAGGCAGGACGTGCTTTCCCCCTCTCTGTCCTGGAGGAAGAGCAGTTTGGTTTTCCTACCAGTTTAGTCCTTGGACTTTCTGATGGGGCTACTTACAACTTGTGGAATTAAGCCCTGGTCCAGTAAAGCTCGCCAAGAACATGTTTAATTGTAAGCACATGAGTGGTCCCACTGAAGTCAGTGGGATTAGTCCTATCATATCCTTACAGCACTTTGCTGGATCAGGGCCTTACTGCCTGCTGTGACGGAGTTTGTGATCTAGACCCAAAGCCACTGGGAAGAGGACTAGGGCACGCTAATAATTCGTTTCACACCAAATGGTAACTGACGTGAAACCAACACCATTTCTTCACTGACATGGGTAGCTGATCAATACTGATCAATACTGAATGCTAATACTGAATGCTAATGAGGACCCCATCACAGAGTACAGTGTGTACATATGTGCTGGAATTATGGGTGCTGGGGGTGCTCCTGCGCCCCCTGGTGTGAAGTGGTTTCCATTAGGTACAGGGTTTACAGTTTGGTTCGATGGCTCTCAGCCCCCCCCCACAATACAAATTGTTCCAGCCCCCTTTATTGGAGACATGGGTGATCGGAGAAGTTTGGATGGTGAGGCAGCATTAAAAAAAATTCCTTCAAAGCCCGTGGATTGAATCATTCACCTATTTACACACCTGAACACACTATTCTCATTTTAGGAGGGTTTTACTGAATGGAGCTTGTGTAGCATGTAGGTGACCTCTTTGTTTGGTGTCTCCTGGGGAGCCTGTACAGAATGCTGGGGTCTCTGGATTTTAAATCTGCACAATTTATAAGCTAACTCCTTAACCACGTGAACAAAATGTGTCAAATCAACATCTCACTGTCCATGGTACCGACTGATATGGCCAGCCTACATCTCCCATGATGCAATGTGGTCTCCCCTCTGACCAAGCTGTGTTGTGCATCATGGGAGTCATATATGACGGCAGGTATATCATGGGATATACCAGCCAGGGAAACTGGCCCATAGGGGAGAATCAGGCACCTGAACTATACTCCCATGTGGCACTGCAGCACCACAGGGAGATGTTTAATGCTGAAACTGATTTGAAACAAAATGTTTTGCCATTTCAAATTGAAAATTTTCTGAACTTTTTGTTCCATGAACAATTGATATTACAAATCTTAATCCGGATTTGGGATGAAAACAAATGTTGAAATATCCGTTTCCTGCGTGACAGAAATTCCAGTCATTCACTTGGTGCTAGCCATCCTTCAGAGATGGTTGGTTGAGCAAGAGTCTAGGAAGCTCTCTCTGGTTTTAGAGCTGGCCGGTCTCACCTTAGTCCACTTTCCTCAGACTCCAGGGACGGAGCTCACTTCTCTATTAGAAAGTGTATTTTAGCAGCAACCTGGTGTCTCAGTGTTTAAGACTTCAATCAATCAGCACATAACAACGAGGCTTATAAAAACGCATGAAGCAGCAAGGGGCAGGGAATGAGGGTTAATCTTGGGGCTGGTATATAATATTTTGCTTCTCCTGGTTACCTGTGTGGGATTTTAAATATTCCTGCATTATAAAACATGTGTAGGTAGTTGCCCTTAACAATGGAACTTGTAATCTCTCAAACTATTACTCCATGTTATACCCTGTAATGAAGCAGATTTTAAATCAATATTTAGTGTACAAATTAGTTTTTCTTATATGCATAGTTAAATGTGAAGAAATACATAATACTTATTTGCAACTGGAGGATGCTGTCAATAGAGATATTGCAGGTACTGCTATATTTTGGGAGCATGTGAGGAATCTGTGGACTCGTCTACACACAGCTTTTGTACTGGTTTGAAACTGGTTTAGTTACAGTGGTGCAACCCTCCATTGTGGACCACCAAAAATCAATGGAACATGGAAATAACCATGAACTGAATCTGAGTGAGAGCTGGCAAAGAAAAATCATCTTTACCCAGGGAGATCAAAGTCTCATAGTTGTCCCTCATCACATCTCTGTACAGCTCTTTCTGCCATTCCGCTAGCTCCTCCCACTCCTCCTTGCAGAAATAGATGGCAACATCGTCAAACGTGACCAGGGCCTGAAACGACAAATAAACCATGATCAGCAAGGTCTGCTTCAGTCACATCCTGACACTGGCAGGGCAGGGGAACTCACACTGAGAACACACACTCCAGCTGGTGCGTCCCAGGGGAATCCCACACTTGCAGCTCTCCCTTGTCCCCACAGGGCTCTGACGGAAGGAAATCAGTCTCCAAGGGATGCTGGGATGGTGAGTAGTAGCTTTGCCATTCTCACAGTGGAGACTCCCCAACGAGGCAGCACTAGTTGCCACCACCCCTCTCGAAATGAGGGACATGTGACCGTCAGGATGAGGGACAACGCCCTGTGAAATGAGGGACACGATGAGGGGCGCCCATTTCTTTACTGAGCACTCCCAGGAGTGCACATTTCCTGCTTCTCCACAGCCCCATCACCAATGAGCCTTTAAAAGCCTCCCTGCTCTGCCAGCTCCACCTCCCTCTCCCCACCAAACACACCTGCTCTCTCCCATAAGCCACATCCTCCTTCCCTCTCCAACGCTCCTCCAAGCCTGTTCCCCCCCCCAATGACCCCTCTGAACCAGTGTCCACCCCACCCATCCAGCTCCCCTCCAAGCTTGGATCCTCCTGAGCCTGTGGGCCTTCTCCCCTGCCCCACATACCTTCTAGGACTGAGGACTTACAACTGTGCTCTGGGCAGCCAATGAGCACAGCGGAGCCACAGCAGGGTCGCCTGATCGGCTTGCTGACTTCTTTGGACAGCTCTTAGGCCCAAGAGCAGCTCTCTGGCTGCTCAATGAGGCACATGCCCGCAGCTGTGGTCTTGCCGCTGCCTGCCCTGCTCCCAGCCTTGAGCCCAGCCTGGCTCCTGCCTTGTTCCTGTCCTACCCAGTTCATTCCACCCCTGCTCGGCTCCTGGCTCTGGCTTCTGCACTATTCCTGGCCACTGACTCCAGCTCCGACCACGAGGCCTGCCCGCCCATGCCCCGGTCCATGACAACGCCTCAACCGCCTTCACGTGGATGCTAGAGGGACTGGAGGCTCGTGCTCTCCTCTGAAGCAGGATCAGCCCCCACCCTGCACAGCAAGGCCCCGTGGCTCTGCACTCAGAGCCCATGGCTGGGTGGGCAGTGAGAGCTGTGGCTCCACAAAACCTGCCTAACAAGCAGGGTGATAAGATGCGCCCCCCCCCCCCGGCCACTGTGCCACAGGAGGCTGCAGCTGCCCCCTCCCTGCACTGCTGATCAGTTCAATAGTGGATCAGCAATGAGGGACTGCATGCTGGCAATGTTAAAAATCAGGCCAGATGCGGGGTGTCTACAGGCATAACTGAGTGAAATGTTCTGGCTGTGTCATACAGGAGGTCAGACTAGATGGTCTAATAGTCCCTTCTGGCGTTGGTGTCTATGAACCAACAACAAGCAGATATAAGAAAGGGCTCAGAGAACAAGCCCTGGTTTGTGCCGAGCGCCGCAGACTGGAATTCCAGCATTTCTCTGCATGCACTGCAGCTGCCTTTGCCGGGTTAGGTGCAGCTGCACTGAAGGGTGGAGGGATTACGTGGAGCAGCTTGGCAGAGCTGTCCCTGTGATATGAGGAGATGTGCCCATGTGCCTTGAGGGATCCAGGCCTCATTTCAGTGCTGAATTTTGAAAGTTGTGTCCATAAACATGCACCAGGGCGTCTTCTTGCCATGGGGACCGCCATCAGGGCTGCTGGGGCTGAGTGAGACCAATGCCTCAGACGGGTGAAAGGGGTGGCAGGTCTGGTGTAGGCTCAGTGTTTGAATGTTCGGCAGGTGCAGATAGAACCTGTTTGCTACACCTGACTAAAGCCGAGTTTTACCTGAGCAAAGAGGTGTTAAACTCTGTCCTGCAGTGCTCATGTGTGTGCTCTGTTCCCAGGGGGTTCTGTAGCACCTATGTGGGTAGCGTGCTAGTACATGTTACTGGCGTGTTGGGGCATTGCTCAGAGGGCAGAGTTAAGGTCACATTGTGGGGGAGGCATGTTTACATTTAGCCACTCTGCGTTCAGGGCAAAAGGCACCAATGAACAACCTTAACTCTGCATTAACGAAGTTTTGGGGCATTTGATTTCCTTGTTTGTTTTTAAATAATTTCTCAGCACCCACATGTTCCTCAGCCCAACTTTCATCCTCCATGGCTCTAGCTCCTTGGCAAGAATTACCTCGGCCACAGAATGCATGAGCTGCACGTTCATCCCTTCACATCTCTTGTCTCAGCTCTCTTGTCTGCCTGGCCATCACAGCCTGGTTCTCCCTCCTCCACTTCGAGAGGCAGATGTCAGCATGGACCCTGCAGGTTGAGGAGCTGGGGAGAGGGTGCAAGAGCCGTGCAGAGACCAGCACGGAGTCAGTGGTGATCTTTTTGAAGGGGAGGGGGGGGACAGACCTGGGGAGCATGTACCAGCTGGAGGCAGGGAATGGCAGGAGAATGGAGATGTAGAGTCCCTACCGCAAATCTGGGCCTAGTGTGTGGAGACGAGGCTGTCCTCCAGGAGGCTCAGAGATATGAAGTGGCTCATTCATCTCAATGTGGTGTTCTCAGCTGACTGAGAACACCCATGGATGTGAATACAGCCTGAAACAATAACTCTGAGAGAAGTGAACCGCTCCATTCATCTCAGGCCTTGTCTACACTGGCAAGTTTCTGCGCAGGTCAGCAGCTTTTTGCGCTGTAACTCCAGAGGCGTACACACTGCCAAGCCACTTAGTGCGCAGAAACTGCACAATTGTAGTGCTCTAAAAAACCCCACCCCGACGAGAGGCGTACAGCTTTCTGCGCCGGGGCTACAGCGCTGCGGTGCCAGCGTAGACACCCTGGTCGATTACAGCGCTGCGATTGGCCTCCGGGAGGTGTCCCACAATGCCTGTTCTTGCCTCTCTGGTCATCGGTTTGAACTCTTCTGCCCTGCCCTCAGGTGACCAACCAGCAGCCCCACCCCCTACATTCCTTTGCAGATTTGAAAGTCCCCTTCCTGTTTGCTCGGTGATGCGTGCAGTGGTCTCAGCGCATCTTTCCAGGTGGCCATGCCTGCTCCACGCACCAGGCGATCCCCCACTCAGACCAATGCTGAGCTGCTGGACCTCATCAGCATCTGGGGAGAGGAGGCCGTCCAGTCCCAGCTGCGCTCCAGCCATAGGAATTATGACACCTACGGACAGATTTCACGATGCATGACAGAAAGGGGCCATGACTGGGACACACTGCAGTGCAGGGTCAAAGTGAAGGAGCTGCGGAACGCCTACCACAAGGCGCGGGAGGCAAACCGCCGCTCCGGTGCTGCGCCCACGAGCTGCTGGTTCTACAAAGAGCTGGACGTGATACTCGGCGGTGACCCCACCTCCACTGCGAAGGCCCCTGTGGATATTTCGTTGGCTAAGTGGATCTGATTTTGGGAATTGCTGAAGCAAGTTGTTGGGGGCAGGAGGGTTGAAGAAAGCAGGCTGGTCTCCCACCGCATGCCTAGTCTGAGCGGCGGAACAGGCTGTTGATTGACTCCCTCACTTCACGGGAGTCTCCCTCAGAGATCTCCAGGAAACTCTCGTGGAGATACTGGGCAATCCGCTGCCACAGGTTCCTCGGCAGAGCTGCTTTGTTTCTTGCCCCATTAACAGTAACTTTCCCGCACCACTGTGCCGTCACGAAGGGGTGGGGACCATTTCTGAACACAGGTGAATCGCATAAGGGCCAGGGCGGAAGCCACAGACTTGGAGAAGACCCTCCCTGGATTCCCTGCTCACCCTCAGCAGTGAGATATCTTCCATAATGAACACATCCTGTGGAAAGTGTGGGGACAGGAATGATTATCAGGCCCCCCCTACAGTGCTGGCTCTCCCCAAGAGCCACGTGCCCAGTTTACAGCAGGGTCCGGGAAGAGTGATTTACCCTGTCCCTGAGGCTACTCATCATTTTGGGGGTCTTGTGTCTCATGTGTACTTGCCTGGGGCCAGCCAGTTAGTGACAGGTGTGTGAGTACTGGCTGTATTTTAAAGCACTGAATCAGTGTTGTCTGTGTTGCAAACAAACAATACTGCTTCTGCTTTGTTATCAGCGACTGAATGGCTGCGCAAATTAGAAAGCGGCCAAGAAGAACTAAGGAGGAGTTTCTGCGTGAGGTCATGATGCACTCCGCCACCGAGAAACTGGAATTGAAGGAGTGGCGGGACAGAGAGAAGAGGGACCGAAAAGAGAACGCGGCACACCAGAAAGAAACCACGGAGCAGCTCTTAAACGTTATGGAGCGCCAAGTGGACAAGCTCCAGGAGATAGTAGCTCTTCAAACTGAGCAGCTCCGCGCCTGCCCTCTCCTGCAGCCACTGTCGCAAAACTCTTTCCCATGCGCCCCCCACACCCTGCCAACACACTCTTATCAACCTCCTTGCTCCAGTCTATACCCGCTGCATTCCACTCCTCCCTCCTCACAGTCCAGCACTGCGGATTCCCACTACCCACTGCACTCAACAACCATCCCTCTGCAGTTTGGCCCTGCTGAAGTACAGCACCCGCTGCATTGTACTCCAAAGGAGAAGGTTGAGTATGATCCCTGGACATACACAAATCTGTAGCTGTCCCGGGACCCCTCCTCCTCTTGAGACCTTCCCTTCCCCCATCCCCCTCCCTGCTGATGAATTTTTTCATTTGACTCTCTCCTCTGGTTGTTGTCTTTTAATAAAAGAAGTGTGTTGGTTTGAAAGCAATCTTTATTCTATTAAGTGAAAGCAAAAGAGCACTGCAAAGCAACATAAAATAATGTTAAGCCCCCTTCTTGCATCATGTGCACCAATCACCTCCTAGCATTACAAGCACTGCAATCCCGAGCATAACAATAAATATTAATGGCTTTCAGCTTCAAATTGCTGCCTAAGCCATCCCTGATCCTTATGGCCCTGCGCTGTGCCCCTCTAATAGCCCTGGTATAAGCATAGGAATATTGTCATCGGCCAGGTCCAGCTTCCCATACAGGCATCGCCAGCGGGCTTTTAAACAGCCAAATGCACACTCAACAGTCATTCTGC